TGAATGGTATGTGTGTTTGATAGTGTGTGTTTGTATCTTAATACTAATCATTAGTATCTCTGTGTGTGTGTGTATTTACTGATACATGTACTTGTTCTGTTGTTGTGTAGAAAGTTTGAACTTGTTCCAATCGAAATTGGATTTTTTCCAAAATCAAGTTAAGGTCCCTGTACTATAGTACAGGGTCATTGGCCAAATTTTACCAAAAATGAAAAGGAGAGAATTTTTCATTTTAATAATTTTTTTCTGATACATATACATGTTTTTATGTTCCATAGAAAGTTTGAGCTCATTCCAATCAAAATTAGATTTTTTATGAATTTTTAAAGTTGCTCCAAATTTTTCCTATCCACTGGACTCATCAATGACTGTACATTCCTTCAGTAATTAACAAGTAGAGTGTATTACCATTAGCAGCTGGTGGTAACTGTATCGTTAATAAGTGACAGTGAGAGGAGGTAGAGTGATACATGTGTACATGTACATTTATACTTGAATTACTATCAGGATGTCATTACTAACTGTCATTATTTTATTTATTTATTTATTTATTTATTCATTTATTAATTAATTAATTTATTTATTTATTTATTTTTAGGGTAAATTACTGGCGGCTGTTAGTGTTGCTGAACAACTTGATGGGGTTGATACTGTCCCTGTAATACTAGTCAAGTACATGTAGTAGTGGGCGGGGCAGTGGGTGGAGCATAAGGAGTCATTAATATATTAATAATTATATTGATAGGGTGTTAGAGGCAGTGGGTGTGGCCTCGTGGAGTAATTATGGACCGTTTTCTGATTGTTACTGTTTAGTGTCACTGATGGATACTGAAGGACATGTAAAGTATGTACTGTGTACATGTACATGTAATAGGATGTACTTTACAACACATGAATACTTGTATTATAGGGATTAGTGGTTAGTGGTTAGGTGTACATGTATATATGTACAGTGTATGGGTATTGAGTTACAATGTTGTAAAGTATGTGATGTATACATGTATTATAGTGATTCTACCATGCCATTAGTGATTAGTGGTTACATGTACATGTGCAGGTTTCAATATTTTACATTTTTTAAATGTTGCAGCTATTAATGCATCTCCATGCTTCTGTTTCCTATCTTTAATTTGTACCCATTACTTCTATTAGAGGGACCTCCTATACTTTATATAGGATTATATTTACTTAATGTATTTAAAAATAATGTAACCCCAGTCTTATAACATATACAGTCTCTTTTATTGAGTAGTTGTTCTCTCATTATTTCTAGTTTAATTTAGTGATCGAGACAGTCTGATCAATCTCAATTACTAATACCATTCCTTCATGATCCTAAGACTAACAATAATTTTGTACCAAAGCGTCCCTCTCCAGTATCAAGGACTGATCTATCCCTATCTCTTCAGTTTGTGGATCAAGTATTGAGGAAACAATCTAGTACTATGGAGCGTGTCTGTCAGTGGAGCTAAATCGTTACACAATGAGTCTAGTCTGTCTTGTTTTGTTAGTTACTGACTCAAAACATACCAGTATGAATTAAGGACTGGGGTATTATTATTATTATTATATTAGTATTATTATTATTACTGTATTATTAATGGTACATGTACATCATTTGTAATTATATGTTGCATGATTAAAGTAATATTGAAATGATTTGTTGTTTTTTTGTGGGTGGGACTGGCAGAAGTGAACCACACGCTAATTGATTAGAATAAGATTATATATCAATGATAACGGAATTAATAAAAATAACAGATCAGCCTTTTATGTATAGTGTACTCTGATTGGTCACTTGTTTTTGCTGAAGATACACAAGTTCACATGAAGTGATTAGATATATCACTCTATTAGATTCCAGACGACTCTGTTTTGTATGAGGTGATAGTTAGGATAAGTATTAATACAAGTCTCTTTGTGTCGATAGTCTAGCCTGAGTGTCCTTATCTTCTTATTATCCATTAGTGACTGGAGGATGAGTAGTATTGACTCAGGAGACAGTGATGTCTTCATTAGATCCAGTTCAACTAGTGATGAGTTATTGAGGAGGAGGTGAGAAAGAACCTGTCCACTAGTAGAAATGATGAGAGGATTATTAGAAAGATCTAATGAGGTAAGTGTAGAGTTGTGTTCAAGTGCTTGACAGATATTAGTAACTCCTCTATCACTAATGGAGTAGAGACTGATGACTAGTTCTTGTATTGTTTTATTATTAGTTAGTAGTATACACAAGTACTGGATACAATCATTAGTTAATGGAGTGTACAGTATCTCAAGTCTCCTCAGGTTTAGTGTATGCAGTTTAGTTGATGATAGTAGAGATACTGTACTATTAGTAGATGAGGAGTGGAGGTCAATCTCCTTATGATTATTATTAATTCTACTAATCACTTCATTACACTGAACTGGAGATGGATAGTCAAAGTATACCCCGTCACTGTACCATGTCACACTCCCAGTGACTCCTAATATAAACCAAAGGATTATACTTACCTTAAGGTTACTTTTAAATACAGGTACTATTAATTGCGAATTTTGGGTTTAGGTTAAAATCGCAATTATTAATACGCGCAATTATTAATAATGACATCATGATGCCATATAACTATTAGTAATAATTACTTAATCGCAATTTTTAATACCAGCAAAATCTCCTCATGCTAAAATCGCAAAATTTAGTACCTGCAATTAAAAGTCACTCTGAGGTATATACATGTTTGTACATAATAATACACATATTCACATCATGTGTATATACAAACACACACAACTTAAATGCTAGTTGTCACTACAATGAATAAACAAATACACACAGAATACATGTATTAATTAAAGCACTGTTGAGAGTAGGTTACGGGAATTATTGCACGAGGGGCGGTCGAGAGGAAAATGTAGCACGAGGCAAAGCCGAGTGCTACATTTTCATTGAGACTGTCCCAAGTGCAATAATTTCCGTAATCTACGAATCAACAGTGATTTGATTGGTTTGTAGTCAATGTAGTGGTGCGTGGGCGGATCAAATGAAATTTCAAAAGTCGCGCAGGTGGCCAGCACAAGATGATCAGATCTCATTTATCACTATTATTATTGTTACATGTCTAGTGTATGTAGCTGTGGCTGTGATTTGCATACATACATGTATGTACTATGTAGGGGCATGCAGGTACACTGACTGTCACAATAATCACAAATATTACCTTTATCATGTT